AGTCTAGACTGTATGCATTGGCAATGGAAAAATTGTCCAACAGCATGGGCAGGACAATACTCAGGTCGTTATGGAGGTCCAACCATTATTCTTGAGGCAGTAGCATCATATGATCTATGGATATGACATGCATACTTTGGCTTACCAGGATCCAATAACGATATTAATGTATTGCAGTCGTCTAATTTGTTCGACAATCTATCACAAGGTATTACTCCTCCTGCTCATTACACAATTCAAGGAAAAAATTATGATGTCGGTTATTATTTGGCCGATGGCATATATCCGAAATGGCCAACACTTGTTCAAACCATTTCTAATTCCGATGATAAAAAGAAACAATATTTTGCAATGATGCAAGAAGCATGTCGAAAAGATGTTGAGCGGGCATTCGGTGTTCTCCAATCACGATTTGCTATCATCAAGGGGCCAGCCCGTTTTTGGGATAAACGAACTCTGCATGATATCATGACTGCTTGTATTATAATGCACAATATGATTGTCGAAGATGAACGCGACGAGCAAGAAGATGTTGTCATTTCAACTCCACAATCAATTCCGAATGCTGAAAATATGGAGATAACGGAAACTGAACGATTCCAACGGTTTCTTGCTCGACATAAGAGGTTGAAAAACAAAGAAGCTCATTTTGCACTTCGAAATGCATTGATTGAACATTTGTGGGAAAGACATGGAAATGAAGCTATGTAATTTTTTTTACTAATAAAATAATGACTTTTTCAATTTTAATTACTTGGTTCTTGAAATTTTATATTTTAATTAATATTATTTAATATTAGTCTAATTTTGAAGGTATCGACAAAACATTTCCAACTGTAAATTTTTTATTTAAAAATAATTAGTAGAAATAAACTTATGTTGATTTTAAGTTGAATATCTAAAAATAATTAGTTAGTTAGAAGGGTATTATTGTAAATTTTCAGGGGGAATAGTGGTTTGGAGGGGGGCTGCATATTTGGAGCAAAAACTCCAAATATGCAGCCGAAGAAAATTTTTTGCAGCCGGACTCCAAAAATTGGAGTCCGGTTGGAGCTCCATGGGGCTGCAA